GACCCCTATAGGTTTAGGGTTTAGGGTTTAGGGTTTAGGGTTTAGGGTTTAGGGTTTAGGGTTTAGGGTTTAGGGCTTAGGGTTTAGGGTTTAGGGCTTAGGGCTTAGGGCTTAGGGCTTAGGAGTTTATTTCGTTCATTATATTCGCGCCTACATTATTATATTCTTGTGCGCGAGTAAAACGAAGAGAAATTCATCAACCAAGAAGTGAACCTGTTAACAGACCGTGAGCTTGGAATAATATTCACTGGTTATGATTGAACGGTTGATACAAGATGAACGAAGTGTCAAAGAGGGGTTATCTTGTGTCCCAACCAGGCAATATTAATATCATGACCTGTGAAGTGAACAGATTTCCAAAAGACTTTTTAAGGTGAATTTCTAAGAGATAAAAACCTAAGAAGTTTCTTGTCCAAAGAATTATATTGTCAATAAAAATTGCAAATGAAACGAATTTAGCCTTAGGGCTTAGGGCTTAGGGCTTAGGGCTTAGGGTTTAGGGTTTAGGGTTTAGGGCTACTTGGGTGGTCATGGTACGTAATAACCCAATTAGAACTGTACTTACACAACCCATTTACCACCCTATTAGCGTACTTAAGGGGCTTTTTATGTGGGTGATAACTACACTTCTAATGCATTACTAGGTATCCTAAATGGTTTAGTAGGGTTTAGGGCTTCGAGGGTTCCTCTAAATTGGGGTCCTTCTTGAGGTCTTTTTAGAAGTGTGCCGCCTCATATACGGGACCCCAATGTATGGAACAGCTCAAAATTTGGGGTTTGGGGCTTAGCTAGGTTTAAAAGGTTTGGGGCTCGGGATCTAACGTTAAGTGAGCGGGGTTTGGGGTACGGGGTGATTTTTTCTGATTTGGGTGTGGCCATTCTGTTGAACGGGAGTTGAATTTTGCTAATGGGATGGCCCATAACACCTTCTGAAAAAACTCCTGAAGTATTATCCTCTTAAACCTAAGAATCGGAAAACATAAACTTGTCCAAGGGCCTGCCTGGTAAAGCTACAGCACGCAAGCAGAAAGACTTCGATTTTACATATTTCACGTGATGGTAATTATGTAGCTGAGGGTACTCCAACCTTTTCGGCTGAGGTGTCACGGTTCGCACGCAAGAGAGAGACTCGTGGGTTCGAGGGGGTTCATGCGCGGTATAAAATTTCATGAAGTAAGGCCTCCAGTTAGTAAAGACAGATAGCATGCATGGAACATTCTGTTGTGAAACCCTATTCACTATAAGCCCTAACCTCTAAACCATTAGCACTTCATTCGCGCAGGGGTGCGACGAAGCTCGAAGAAGCCCCCAAGGTCCGAAACCTTTAGGCCTCCACCTTCATTGTTGGCCCTGATTTAGGATTTAGGGTTTAGAGGGACCGTAAGGGAAACCCCCCAGCATACTCCCTACGAAGCACTGTTCGTATAAGGGGGAAACATCCCAGGCCAAAACCTTGCAGCTGAACAGGTCTAAGGGCCTGTGATGTCTGCTGCTGCTTTGGCTGATATTTTCTTCTCCTTCCAGAGCTCAATTCGAAATCTTACAGATCCATGCAGGGTCTCTTGAAGGGTTTAGGGTGTAGGGTTGGGATGTTCCCCCTTGTACTACTAACAGCCTTTAATGACGAATAGTACCCCCCCTAGTATAATTTCTATGAAGGTCCCAAGGTGTAGGGTTCTTACAGGGTTTAGGGTCAAGTGCAAGTAGCGGGACGAAGGGATGCCTCGTTCCCGGAAAGCCGTGTAACCTAGAAGGGTACCCTAAACCCTTCCTGCCGCCCACACGTGTTTGGGGAATGCTCCGAAACCCGAACCCTGAAGCCTTCAGCCCCCGAATCCCTGCAACCCCCCAAGACAAAGTTGGTGCCAATAACCTGCTAAAAAGGTCGGGAAGCAAAAGGGTTGAAATCAAGACTGTTATACCCTAAACCATAAACTCGCTCATCCACCGGCTCAATCATTCTAGGGTCCCAGGATCCACAGCTAGATCCCAGCACATTGGCACCCTGATCCGAAACCCTGCAACCTAAATCTTATAAACCCTAAACCATTAAAAGCCCTAACACCTTCCCCCTTCTATTAAACGTACCCCTAACAATAAGTCAACCCTTTCCGGAAACTCCTCCCGAAACCAACCCCGCCGTTTAAGCACTATTCCGAATGGGGGGGGGGGGGGGGGCTAAACCCTACACTCTAAACACTAAACCCTAAACCCTAAACCCTAAACCCTAAACCCTAAACCCTAAACCCGAAACCCTAACTAAGGGGGATTCAGGGCTCCCAAACCCTCAAGCCAACCGACATCCTGAAGGTTTAAGTCATTACTTAAACCCTCCAAAGCCTGAAGCCTACTTGGCTGCACTTAGGAGGGTAGTAAAAACTTGAACTTTTAGCGGCCGTATTAAGAAACCCAATAAACCCAAAAAGGCTGAAGATCTAAAGTTACAGTAAAGTACCACAAAGCCAGACCCTAAACCCTTTGGACCCCAAACATGACATGTGGATAAAACCCTCCCCCTAAGTTCAAAAAAACATTTCGAGTTTCTATTGGGGGGGGGGGGCCGTTTAATATTGGGGGAAGGGAATTTAAACACTAAGCCCTAAACCCTGACAAGCCCTAAACACTCAACCATCAACCCTTATAAGCCCTAAACACAAAACCCCTAAACCGGTAAATGCCCTAAACCCTAAACCCTAAACCCTAAACCCTAAACCCTAAACCCTAAACCCTAAACCCTAAACCCTAAACGCATATAAGCCCTAAGCCCTAACGCCTAACCTGCAATGCCTTGGAGGCTGGGAAGCTCAGGGGCTTCACTACTACCCCCCCCTATAGGGTTTAGGGTTTAGGGTTTAGGGTTTAGGGTTTAGGGTTTAGGGTTTAGGGTTTAGGGCTACTAACCCCGCCCCTCCCCCCCTAGGTTCCGCCCTTAAATAACCTCGATTCGGCATAATTATCCCTAAGTAGCCTGAATTATTTAGGGAACCTAGGGTGGGGGGGGGGGGTTGCATAGAGGGGGTAGTTGGGGAACCCAAAAAGAGGTTCGTCTTGCCACGTAGTCCTCGAGCTTGAGGAGTACTCTCCTCACAAACTGCATGTGGTCCTGCAAGCTGGGTGGCTTACGGGGCTTACGGGGCTTAGGGATTAGGGTTTAGGGTTTGGGGCTTAGGGCGGGGACGTGCCCTATGAAGGACTGTTAGTATAGAGGTGAACATCCCAAGTTTAGGGTTAAAAGTGGCAGCTGGTGAAGAAGGTGTGTTAAGGGTGTAGCACGTGTAGTTTTAGAAATCGCGTATGTTGCACAGTTCGGCTGCAGGCTTGCCATGTCAGTGCCAGCAACTCGAGGTTAAATTGCCAAAGCTGCGCGAAGCCCAGCTGGAAAGAAAACAAACCTAAACCCCAAACCCTCATGAACCCTAATCAACCCTAATAAACCCTAATAAACCCGAATATACCCTAATGAACCCTAACAAACCCTAACAAACCCTAATAAACCCTAATAAACCCTAATAAACCCAAATAAACCCTAATTAACCCTAATAAACCCTAATAAACCCTACTAAACCCTAATAAACCCTAATAAACCCTAATAAACGCTAAACCCTAAGCCCTAAGCCCTAAACCCTAAACCCTAAACCCTAAACCCTAAACCCTAAACCCAAACAGAATCGGCCAGAGGAAGCCCGGGTGGCCGTTTCAATACGCACGAGCGCGCAGAGGACCTCTACCATATGAACTCTACTTGGGGGGTCTCCGTAGGTTTGGGGTTTAGGGTTTAGGGTTTAGGGTTTAGAGTTTAGGGTTTAGGGTTTAGGGTTTCGGGTTTAGGGCCAATTACGTATAGCTGTACTTATACCCAGTTATAACCCTGTCGGGGTACTTAAGGGGCTTATATGTGGGCTATAACTACACTTATAATGGTTTTCCTCGAAGCTCCAAGCAGGGGTATTAAGGAGGCCCAGACTTCGCGTCGACCCCACTCTGTATGTTCTACCTTTGCTTGGGCTGGTTGCGGTCCCTCGAACCCTCTAAACCCTAAACCCTAAACCCCTAAACCCCTAAACCCTAAACCCTAAACCCTAAACCCCAAAACCCCTAAACCCCTAAACCCTAAACCCCTAAACCCCTAAGCCCCAAAAGGTAGGCCCGAGGAGTCTCCGAGGAGTCTCGGGAGTCTACGGGCTTTAGGTTGGGATGCTCCCCCTCTTCTAACCGTCCAGAACAGGGAGTCTAATAGGGGGTGCTACCCTAAACCCTAAACCCTAAACCCTAAACCCTAAACCCTAGAATCCCTATTAAGGACTCTTCGTATAAGGGGGTCACCTCGTAGGTTTCAAAATCCCAACCCCCAAGTCCTTCTCCCGGTCCAAGATTGATACGCTTTTCTTCGCCTCCTGTTGCAGAACCTGGCATCCCCGAAGGTTTAGGGTTTAGGGTTTAGGGCTTAGGGCTTAGGGTTTAGGGTAGGCCAGCTGCGGCTGAAGTGCTTAGGTGCTTGAGGCGCTTGTGGGTTTAGGGCTTAGGGTTCTGCCTTAGCAAGAGCGGGGGAAGGCCTGCTGGGCTTGCTGCGGGTGTAGGTCAGGTTCGGGGTTTGGGGTTTAGGGTTTAGGGTTTATAAATAGGGTTTAGGGTTTAGGGTTTAGGGTTTAGGGTGTGAGGGTTCATTCAGGGTTTGGGGGGTTTGGGGTAGACCTCCCCACCCCCCACCCCTCTAATGTACTTCTAGGGGGAGAAGAGGTGTACCATTGCTTATCTTATGGCAGCCCACAACACGGATTTGCAAGGGTAACCCTAAATCGCCTAAACCCTAAACCCTAAACCCTAAACCCTAAACCCTAAACCCTAAACCCTAAACCCTAAACCCTAAACCCTAAACCCTCAACCCAGTCCGTTCATGCGGAGGAAGCCGATCGGCCGCAACTCTTGCACGACATAGTAGAGGCAGCCAAGCTTCGACATTCGCAGTTTGCGCAGATTCCGCAGTCAGCAGGTCCACACCTTTATGCCGTGGCGTCCCTCCACGCCGCAAAAGAGTCCAGAATCATGGCCTGCAGGCCATTTGCATTCCTTGAGGCGGCAGATGATGAAGGCCCGTAGCGTCTTTTTCTGTTAGCCTTATACCTTAATATAGCGCCTAGAGCTCCGCCACAGATCCCCTGCAGGGAAGGTCATGAAGAGTCAAGGCTTCAGAAACAAAAACCTCTGTTAGCATAATCATGCCTTCCTACTTCTGAGGGCGGCGCGAAAACAAATTCCTAGATGCCCTAACAAGAACCCCCTACAAAACAGAAACCTTACTTCAAGAGACGACCAGCCAATATAAGCGACAGAGGTCATGTTTGCCTTGGAAAGTGCTCCAGGAGCTCCTAGATATAAGTTCCACCATGGTAGCCCTAAACCCTAAACCCTAAACCCTAGACCCTAAACCCTCCAAGCCCTCCAAGCCCCCCTGGGTCTAGGTATGGATGCTTTGGACCCCCCCTCCCCCCGAAACCGCGACGTGGACTCAGGGACGACTCCGGACATTCGCCTCGCCATCGGCGTCGATTCTGTAGGTGAGGGTCAGCTCGTCCTGTGTTGCGGGGTTGAGACTTGGCTGCACTTAGCAGGGTAGTAAACAATTGAACTTTTAGCTGCCTTATTAAGAAACCCAATAAACCCAAAAAGGCTAAAGACCTAAAGTTACAGTAAAGCACCACAAAGGAGAGTTCCTAAACCCCAAACCCTGAAAACACAAAACCCTGTAGAACACGAAGCTCACCCCTGAATCCGACCCCTAGCCCATCCACCACACGCGACCGGCCAGAAACCCTAAGGTCAAGTCGCCCTAAACCCTAAACCCTAAACCCTAAACCCTAAAGCCCTAAACCCTAAACCCTAAACCCTCAAGGTTAAGGATTCCCTGCAACCCTACAGCTGCCAATCCGACGAGCATCCAATCCTAGACACTGAGCATTTTAGCGCTTTGACCCAACAGCCGAACCCCTGCAGCCCTGACTCTGGGAGGTAACTCTCAAGGCTGAAGCCCTAACCCTGACTCCTGCCCTAAACCCTAAACCCTAAACCCCAAACCCCAAACCCCAAACCCTAAACCCTATCAGCCCTAAGCCCTGTCTTCCGGGGCCGCGCGCTTTCAGCTTGTACTCCTTCTCGGGCCGGATCTTCTCAATGGCCACCTGGGAGAGCATCCAAAGGATGAGAGGGTCTAAGGCTTTAGGGGTAGGGTCTAGGGTTTAGGGTTTAGGGTTTAGGGTTTAGGGTTTTGGGTTTAGGGTTTTGGGTTTAGGGTTTGGGGTTTGGGGTTTGGGGTTTAGGATTTAGGTTTTAGGGTTTAGGTGTTAGGATTGAGGGTTTAGGGTTTAGGGGCTGGGGTTGTCAGGGGTTGGCGGTTTACGGGGTCAGGGGCTTAAGGCTATTTGGGCGTAAGGTGCTAACATTTGGGGACCTTAGAAAGGTACATGCAGGACATGTCAGTAAGGGACACAAATGAAAAAGGGATTAGGGTTTAGGGTTTAGGGTTTAGGGCTTTATGAGCAGAGTATGAGCTAACCATAGCTAACCCACCCCACCGGAGAATGTCCTCCTGGACCCACCGTGAACCCTGAACCCTGCACCCTGCACCCTGCACCCTGAACCCTAAACCCTAAACCCGAACCCGAGTCCCCTGGGACTCGAGCTGACAGTATGTGAAGGTCGTCAGCTTCCCCGACGGGTTTCACGACCAGCTCCTTGATCGCCTCCCAAAATTGTGGGGTTAGGGTTTAGGGTTTAGGGTTTAGGGTTTAGGGTTTAGGGTTTAGGGTTTCGGGTGTAGGGTTTAGGGTTTAGGGTTAAGGGTTAGGGTTTAGGGTTTAGTTCGGTCCAGGTTCAGGGGTTGGGGTTTGGGGCTTAGGAGCTTGGAGGGTTAGGGTTTAGGGTCTATAGCGTCTTCCAAGGCTTAGAGCTTTGTGGGGGGGTGGAGGGTCTATAGGGTTTAGGGTTTCGAGCCTTGGGGGGGGGGGGGGGGGGGGTCTAGGATTTGGGGGTCTATAGGATCTGGGGCCTTGGAGGCCGCTTGGCTAGGGAAGGGAACAGCTTTTGGGACTTTCCTGGACCTAAACCCTAAACCCTAAACCCTAAACCCTAAACCCTAAACCCTAAACCCTAAACCCTAAACCCTAAACCCTAAACCCTAAACCCTAAACCCTAAACCCTAAACCCTAAACCCTAAACCCTAAACTGACAAGCGCAGAGGATGGCCTACAAGCCCTGCAACTGTTGTGAGGCCTTCGGCAGTCAGGGTTGCGCAGAATTTACATCCGCAACCGCAACCCCTTATCTACCCTTACAAACCCATACATCAGAACCAGTTAAAGGAGCCTAGGGGCCATATCAAGGGCCGATGTAACTACCCTAAGAAACTAGACACGCATGCCGGTAAACCCTACCCTAAACCCTAAACCCTAAACCCTAAACCCTAAACCCTAAACCCTGGAAGGACCTTCCAGTCGAAGCCAAGATGAACCTCGGCTGCCCCATGGAAGTGGATCAGAGGCTGAAGGGTGCTGACGGCCTTTCTTGGTAGCTGAGAAACCATAAGATAGCCCTAAACCCTAAACCCCAAACCCTAAACCCTAAACCCTAAACCCTATTTGGAGGTGGCAAAAAGGGGAACCTAGAGCCAAACAAAGGCAAAAGGGTACTACTCAGCCAGGACTTGAGAGGGTTGCCAAAGCTAGACCCAAGAGCAACCCAGGAATAAACAAGGATACCCATTTTTGGCTTAAAAGGGGATGATAAGGGAACCTAAACTACCCCTTTTTGGCTTAAAAGGGGATGATAAGGGAACCTAAACTACCCCTTTTTTGGCTTAAAAGGGGATGATAAGGGAACCTAAACTACCCCTTTTTGGCTTAAAAGGGGATGATAAGGGAACCTAAACTACCCCTTTTTGGCTTAAAAGGGGATGATAGGTGGGGCAAGTGGAGCAAGTTCCATGAGTAGCGGGAGCCGTCCGCAATGGTTTGTCGGGGGGCCGGGGGGCTACTGTTGGCTGCAGGGGTCAAGGCTTGAAGAAACCAGGCTCACATTGACATGGCTTAATACCCTATAAATATAAATAAGTAAATAATTTATTCAATTAAAAAATAAATACATATATATATATAGATAATTACCCTAAACCCTCAGAACTCTAAAACACCTAAACCCGAAACCCTGAACCTCTTGTATTATCGGGTCCCAGCTGCGAACGCATCGGGGATCTCTTTGCCGCTAGCATCGTACAGCTGATGGTCCTCCGACATTTAGAGTTTAGGGTTTAGGGTTTAGGGTTTAGGGTTTAGGGTTTAGGGTTTAGGTTTAGGGTTTAGGGTTTAGGGTTTAGGGTTAGGGTTTAGGGTAGGGTTTAGGGTTTAGGGAGAGAGAATGCCCGCCAATGAAGGACGAGACCTCAGTCTACGATTGTGTGCCCATGTATAGTTTTGGGGTAGGCTTCTGCATTTAAGTGGTGCTCGGCGTTTGGGATCTGGGCCCTTGGGGGGGCGGGGAGGGCGGGAGGGCGGGGCACAGGCAGGCAGACATTCACAGCTCCGAGATTAAGGTCGGTCCTGCATCTCCTTCATGGTGATGGCCTCCTGCACCTCAATTTACCAGGGTTTGCTTCAGGGCTGAGGGCTTTATGCGTGCGCGTGTGCTTCGGCTTCAGGTCTGTCTCGGGCGCAGTTGTATTCTCGTGGACGATTGTGTCAGCTACACCATCGACGCACCACCTTTCTAACAAGGAACCAAGGAACCTGTGCAAGGTTGGGCGCTTTAGTCGGGGCCCTCTAGAAGTCAAGTTGACCTTTCAGGTTTGTCGGGCTATTCAGGACCTTTTGACAATTTGGGGGGTCAGGGGTGATTCCTGTATACAGTCAAATCTTCCCCCAGATCCGGTTCGGTTGGTAACCAATTTCAAAACCCATGCCCTAGCCGGCCCTAGCCTCTTGGCTTAACGGTTGGGCCTTTGAATCTTAAAGGCAGGCCTTCTTCCCAAGACCTCGGTAACCCGGAATCCCAACTGAGCCGAAAGCAAGACTGCCTTAACATTATTTTACTTCGAACATCCCCACCCTCTCTTGGTAGAGATACTCTGGGGTTGGGCACTCCAGGGACACTTTGGGGTTGGGCACTCCAGGGATGAGCGAGGAGTAGACCGGGCGAGGAGAAGAGTTGAGTTTAATTAATCTTCTAACAACCCCACACCGAGGGTGGGGACAAACAAAGTAAGAAAAACATGTAAATCACTCGGGCAAAAGGCGTGACCTCCTATGTTGGGCACTGTTTTGGGACCATCTCTTATATTCTGGGCCGGGGCGTGGCAGGCTGTTCTCCTTGCGTAATCCTTTAAAGCGTTTACAAACTCATCCCTTGTGAACTCATGTAGAATCTTAGGGTTGAAGGTTTAGGGTTTAGGGTTTAGGGTTTAGGGTTTAGGGGACCGTTTGAAGAGGGACAAAATCAGCTTCGACTGTTCAGGGGAGGGGAAGGGGGGGAAGGGGTACACTGAAGAGGGCGCAACATTAAACGCCAAGACCCTAAACCCTGAACCCTAAACCTGCATTATGACAAGAACCTCGTTCCCAAGATCTCCGGGCCTCCATGTGCCGGATTTCGCCGATCTCGTCCTGGTTGTGGCTGCTCCCGTCTCACTACGTGGCTCTCTGAAGGAAGGTTCAAGCGTACGGCCCAGAGGGTGTTGGGGTTAAGGCTCAACGGTTTGGGTTTAGGGCTCAAGAAAATTCATCTTCTTCCGCAAGTAGCCCGCAAACCCCATACCCTGAACCCTAAACGCCCTAAACCCTAAACCCTGACAACCCTGAACCCTAAACCCGAAAATCCTATTCCCTAAGCCTCAACCGGCGTCGGCCGGCGACCATGGGTCCCCTAAGCCTTCCCAAAACGAAGCTGCTAGCCCCAAGCCGCGTGAGGGGTTTAGGGTTTAGGGCTAGGGGTGCAGAGCCAGAACTTTGAAACCTCCGAAAAACACACACAACTAGGAGGGGCGGCGGGTTAGGGGTGGGGGGGTGGGGGCTGGGGGGGTGGAGGTTTAGGGGCTGGCAACTCCTGGCAGACAGGGCTAAGGTGCCCACGTGCCAAGACAGGTGGTCCCTGTCAAAGACGGCGACATCCACCTTCTGGCACATCGCGTAGATCCTCGAGCGCGGCGCTTCAAACCCCACTTCCGAAACCCTAAACTCCCAAAGCTAGACCCAGGAGGAACCCATGAATGAAAAGGGTCCCCGGTTTTAGTTTAAACGGGCTCATAAGGGATCCCAAGCCCGTCAAAAAAAGGGAAGACGGGCTTACTCTGGGTCCTAGAAGCAGAAGCTTTGGTATCAGATCCCCGAAAAGACGGACGGCTCGGGGCTTCAGAGTTTCAAGCCCCGACAAGCTCTGCGGCGGACTGATGTGACATATGATGTCAGGGCAACCTAAGCAAATTCCAATTTCAAGGCTCCATGTCGACCAGTAGGGAGTACGAACAAAAACAAATTGAAATCGGCCCTAGCTACAGGCACCCTGTCCCCGCTTACGCCGCTTGCAACCTCAATCCCAAACTCAAAACCCTAAACTCAAGACCCTGCACCCCGAAACCCTATGGACCCCAAACCCTACCTAGACCTGCAAGTACCCTTCCAGATACCGAACCCACCCCCCACCCCCTCCCCCCGGAAATAGATGGAGGCATTTGGCCGCGGGAGGGTGGGGACCGGGCAAGGGCGTGACTCGACGCCTAAACCCTAAACCCTAGCTGGCCGTCAAGTTGCGGGAAGACTTTGCTCACCTCGTCCCACTCTGGATTGGCCTTGTCCCACTTCACCTCGACAACATTCGGCTTGGGGTTTAGGGTTTGGGGTGTAGGGTCTGGGGGCCAGGGCTTAGCGGGCCTGTTTAGGGGTTTGAGGTTCAGGGCTGTTGGTGTGGGGTTGAGGGGTTTGGGGTTTGGATTCGAAATTAAAGGCGGATGGCAACGATGCTTGCGTTAGCTACCTGCCACTTGTCACCTGAAAACACCCCACACCCCAAAATGCAGCCTAGAGGGCTTATGATGGGTCCATGGGGTTACAAGCAACCATGAACCTGACCACCAGGGTTCAGTGTTTCGGTGTGGTTGGCAGGTTCAGCGTGAGACCTAAACTAAACCCGAAACCCTGAACCCTAAACCCTAAACCCTAAACCCTAAACCCTAAACCCTGAACCCTGAACCCTGAACCCTAAACCCTAAACCCTTCCCTCCCACCTGGGACTTCCACTCCTTTGCGAAGTGGCCGACCTTGACCTGGCGCCCAAGCACACTTTCTCAGGTCTAACATGTCAGGATTAGGGTTTAGGGTTTAGGGTTTAGGGTTTAGGGTTTAGGGTTTAGGGTTTAGGGTTTAGGGTTTAGGGTTTAGGGTTTCTTGCGCTAGGGCTTAGGGTCCAGTCTTTAGGTTTCATGAAAGGGACACTAGGGAAGTCGAGAGCTACCTAAGTTCCCTCTTGCCCCATAGCTTTACAACCCAAACATCAAGGTTCAGGGTTTAGGGTTGGGGTTTAGGTTCCTAGTTAGCTTCTGGATCAGTGGACTGCTAAGCAGGGAAGCCCTCAAGCCCCAAATCTCATTTTTTTTTCTTGGCCTCATGGTCGTGGGGCTTCGGGTCAACAATCTGACATGCTGCCTGTGATTGGGCTGTGGAGAAGACTATTCGGATTAAAGGCCCCAAAAACGAACCCTACCCCCGGAAGATGATGAACTTTGGCTGGGGGGGGGGATGTCTGATTCGAAGGCGTGGGGCGCATTAAAAAGGAGGTATCCGGTTCAAAGGCTGCAGCCGCCAGAGGATGAGAGTTCCTCGGTCCCTGCAAGAGGATTGAAGGACAACGGGAGGCTGGAGCGCTTCAGGGCTTTGCAGGCTTTAGGGGCATACCCTGAAACCCCAAACCCCAAAACCCTAAACCCTAAACCCTAAACCACAGCAACTGTATAGGGCACCTGTGCACCAGAACTTGGCGCCAAAAAACCCTATACCCTAAGGTTTAGGGTGTAGGGTTTAGGTTTCGGGTTTAGGGTTTAAACGGCTTCCACAAAACCCGAAAGGCCCAAACGCAACAAACCCCCTGGGATCTCCCCACGGTCACGAAGGGGTCGCTCTTGTCCAGCCAATCCTTACGTGCAAGGATTCTTCTGGGCTCCAACCGCAAGGAACCCATGAAACAATAGGGTTTAGGGTTTAGGGTCTTACGAACCCAAAACCAATTTTGTCGGGTGCCTAAGAATCCTACAGTACAGGAGGGTTTTACCACTAACCGACAAAAAAGAAGGTTTGGGGTTCGTACGGCAACCTTTAAGGTTTGGAGTTTAAGGCTTGGGAGCCTACAAGCACTAAATCCTTACTCACTGCAAACCCTCGACCCTGAACCTTCCCACTTAAAAAAACCCAAGCCAGTACACACGCCCTAGAGGCGCTTTGGCTGGGGTCATTTGGGATCTGAGGCCGCTGTGGGTGATGGTTTGGGGAACTTTTGGGGTGTACGCTCGACCCTGTCGCTCCCAAATCCACCCCAAACCCTAAACCCGAAACCCTACCCTAAACCCGAACACACAGACTGCATCCCATCTTTCACAGTGTTCAGGGCTTATAGGGTTAGAAGTGCCATCGCATGGAAAACCAGTACTATAGCAACTGCGGCACCTTCTAGTACCCAGCATACCTGTCCAAACGGCAAACTAACGGAAGCACGCACATTGGAGATCAGAATGTGCTGGATTGAAGGCTTGAGCATTATCATACCAGCAAGCAGCAGTTTAGGGGTGTACTCTCAACCCTAAACCCTAAACCTTTTGCGGTTTAAGGGCTTAGCCCTCTGACGTAGTCGGTGAGTCCCTTTCATAGGTGTGGAGATTGGGCTTTAAGAGCCCATGACGAGGGTCATACTCGGGGGCTTTGGGTTTAGGGTTTAGGGTTTAGGGCTTAGGGTTTAGGGTTTAGGGTTTAGGGTTTAGGATTTCGGGGCTGGAGACCAACACTCCAACAAAAAGTGCCCTTTGCGACGGTTTCTGCCGAGCTGCGTGTGAAGGCAGGTTCGAGGCTTTCTTAACCTCGCGAGCGCGAGCTAGGCTCCGCCTGTAAGAGATTGAGAAGGGAACCAAAACCCTGAAAACAGGGAAAAAGGGCCCTGGGTCCCAGTCATGGTGTCTCAAGGGTGGTCCCTGCCCCTTTTGTCCTGCGCCTGCATCTATATCAAAGATTCCTGCACGTGTGTCAGCTTAACTGTGTCAACTGAAACAAACAGGAAGCCCTACCCCCAATTCATGAATCGACCCTAAGGTATACCAGGGTCCCAATGCTGGCTTAAGCTTTCAAACCCTAAACCCTAAACGGTAATCCCCAAACCCAATTTCTTCCTTAAAGGAGTAATTGGTGTTTCTGGGCAAGTGTTGCCAAGCTGAACGACCTCCTGACATAGGTCTTCGCTGACGGCCGCAGCCCACACCCCTAAGCTCCTTAGGGCTTAGGTTTCGGGTTTAGGGCTTAGGACCCGAAACCTGAAACCCTGAACTCTGCAAGCCTTAAGCCCTAAAGGGCTCAACCTCCGAAAAGCATCCCCGTCAGCCTTGACTTTGAGCAAACCCCCCGGAGGCGGGTAGTAGAGGTTTGTCGGATCCTCCATGTCGTCTCTCTTCCCTGCGCTTCGCGCCAAGGGCTTAACAGAGTCGGGTTGAGGGATGAGGGTGCGCAATAGGGGATGTAGTGTGTAGGGACTTTTTGCCGTAAACCCTGAAGGCCCTGAACCCTAAAGCGTGTAGGGTTTGAGAAAGGATTCGGCTTCCCAGCCTTTCTGGACCCTAAACCCTAAGCTAAACCCTAAATCCATCCTAAACCCTAAGATCAAGCCGAAACCCTAAACCCGAAGCCCTGAACCTTTTGGTCCCTTTGGAGTGCATCCGGCCAGCTTACGAACGGCCGACACAACGATGACGCGGGGGTGGGGTTGGTGGGGGGAGGATGCTCAGCACTTAGACTTCGGGTTTAGGTTTGTGGGTTAAGGGCTATTTGGGGTCCCAAGCCTGACTTGAGAACCATGGAAAGGCAAGCTAGGTCGTCCTGAGAGGGCCCTACAGCCCCTGGAAGGCCCCTGAAAGGCTCCGAGGGCTTAGGATTTAGGATTCCACGCCGGGGATGCGGTTGAAGTTTACAGGTGTGGCCTTTAGATCGTCGTCATTGGGAGGCTGGCAAGGATGAGAGGCTGCAGAGGCTTCACCCTCTGCAGTGGTGTGTCTTCACGGCTTCTGATCGTCGCATGAGTGCTTCGCGACTCGCGCTCGCGGCCAGGACTTTAGGATTTAGGGTCCCCAAACCCTAAACCCTAAACCCTGAACCAGTTTGGCTTATGGCTGAGGATTTCGGGAACTAGGGTTCTTTTGATGTAGGCCCTAACAAATACCGTATAGGAACACGGGGAACCCTAAACCCGAAACCCCACAAATCGCAAAAGAGTCGCACAAAACGCGTGGTCCGAACACAGGAAAGCCCAAACCCCAAGCCCTCGCATTTATTCTCTGACCTGCTTCCCGCTTAGTGTTTAAACCTGTCTGGCCTAGTGGAATAGCGATTCGGTTCGGCAGGACGATCATCTTCGCGAGTGCGCCTTCGATCCTTTGCTGACTGTGTGACTTGGGTTTGGGGTCTAGGGCGGCTTAGGGTTCAGGGTTCAGGGTTTAGGGCAGGTACCGATGAACACTACACTCAAACCCGAAAAAACAAAACCCGTGGTCATTCCTGGATGCTTCGAGACGATCCCGGCCCTTTGCGGGCCCTGATGGCGGCCTGTTCACCAAATGCGCCCGCTAAGGTGCCATATGCCCACTACTCACAAACTCCCCGAAAAAAAAAACGGACCTTTCGCCCCAAACCCTAAGCCCTAAACCCCTATTGGGTTCAGGGTCAAGGGTTTAGGGTTTAGGCTGAACCTTGTTCAGCCCTAACCTCTCACTGCAAGGCCCGAAACTCTAAAAGCACGAACCTCGCTTGCTCCCAAAGGGCAAGTATGTTTGCTTAGGGTAAGGGGTTTAGGGCTTAGGGTTTAAGGGTTAGGGCGCGTTTCCGCGTGGAATTAAGCACCGACAACCCTATGTACCAAACTCCCCCAAAAAAACTACACGTGGGCCCTCTCGCAAACCTAAAACACACTTGCCTGCACTTAGGAGGGTAGTAAAAAAATCAAACTTTTAGCTGCCTTACCAAGAAACCCAATAAACCCAAAAGGCTAAGGATCTAAAGTTACAGTAAAGCACCACACAAGCCTAGAGCCTTTCAACCCTATAAACCCTATAAGCCCTATAACCCTATAAACCCTTTCAAAGAAAACCAGCAGGACTTGCAACTGGGCAGCATCGAGAAGACCAGCCCTCGTATTCCCGGGAGCTCTGCCAGATTGGCGATCCCCGTGAGGTCGAAGTCCTCAAAGTTACAAAGCCTAGACCCTAAACCCTAAACCCTAAACCCTAAACCCTAAACCCTAAACCCTAAACCCAAAACCCTAAACCCTAAGCCTAAACCCCTGTGGCACCCTAAGGCTTTATTGAGGGTTTGAGGCTTCAAAAGACCTCTACTGCAACCTTCTCACCCCTGTGGCACGCGTACTCCCGAAGGAAGGGCTCCATTCTGTGCTCCCAGGTTCCTGGGGCTTCTAGCCTATAAACCCTAAACCCTAAAACCCCAAGCCCCAAACACCAAACCCTAAACCCTAAACCCTAAACCCTAAACCCTAAACCCGAAACCCTAAACCCGAAACCCTAAACCCTAAACCTACACCCTAACCTTAGTACCGCACTCTACACAGTGCCTTCAGGCCTCGGATGCTCTGAGATAGGCATGAAGGACAACGCTCCCAGGCTTTGGAAGGGTTCCGGGTTTAGGAGTAGGGTTTGGGGTTTGGGGTTTGGGGTTTGGGGTTTAGGGTTTAGGGTGTAGGGTTTAGGGTTTAGGGTTTAGGGTTTAGGGTTTAGGGTTTAAGGTTTAGGGTCTCGGGTTTAGGGTTTCGGGTTTCGGGTTTCGGGTTTCGATTTAGGGTTTAGGGTCTAGAGTTTAGGGTTTTGGGAGAAACTCTACGACTTTGGGGGGGGGGGGGGGGGGTTGCGGAATGCAGGTGGAACCTCAGGTTTCAGGACGTTTCGCGTTTCTCGTTTCGTTACGCGCTTGGGTGGTTCGCGCGCTGAGGGTTCCAGAGTTGAGTGCTTAGCTTGGCTAACCGCAGGCGCCACAAGGCTTAGGGTTTAGGGTTTAGGGCTTAGGGGTTAGGGTGAAGGGTTAAGGGTTAAGGGTTAAGGGTTAAGGGTTAAGGGTTAAGGGTTAAGGGTTAAGGGTTAAGGGTTAAGGGTTTAGGGTTTAGGGTTTAGGGTTTAGGGTTTAGGGCCCAAAACATCCTCTCACCCGCCCGGCGAAATCCTAAACCCCCAAAGACAAGTCCTGCATAAAGGGGTTAGGGTTTAGGGTTTAGTGTTTGAGGGTTTGAGGGTTTGAGGGTTTGAGGGTTTAGGGTTTAGGGTTTAGGGTGTATTTTTCTGGACACTCCCCAGTCCACCCCCCCATCATACACTCCGCCTCCTCATATGAGACTCGAAAGGACCAAGTTTATGTTGTGAAAAGTGTAGTCACTTCTCTAAAAGACGGTAATTTCTCTTGGGGTCCCTTTTCTAAGGCGGCCCTCTTATTTAGGGTACCCAAAAAGGGGCCATACTGTTGAGAACCATTTAACACATTAAAGTAAGGGGTGAGGGCCAGGGGGTGTTTGTTTTTCTTCGTATCATGGGATCGGATGGCCCTCTGAAAAAGATTCCTGAATCCGATCCTCGAACCAACCCAAGAAGGGAACATGTAAGATCTCCGAAGGGCCTACCTAGGTGGGAGGGGGTCAACCCCAAACCCTAAACCCTAAACCCCAAACCCGAAACCCTAGACCCTAAACCCTACACCCAAACCCTAAACCCCTAAACCCTAAACCCCGAAACCCTAAACCCTAAACCCTAAACCCAAACCCTAAACCCTAAACCCCTAACCCCAAACCCTAAACCCTAAACCCTCCATGCTGCCAGGGCGCGATCTTTGGCACATCTGGCATTGTTAGCCCTATGCCTCCAAGGATCGGAGGCTTGTCCTCAGCAGCTTGAAGGCTCGGCGTTTAGGGTTTAGGGTTTAGGGTTTAGGGTTTAGGGTTTAGGGTTTAGGGTTTAGGGTTTAGGGTTTAGGGTTTAGGGTTTGGGGTCTGGGGTGTGGGGTTTGGGGTTTGGGGCTTGGCGCTAAGGTTTCAGGTTTAGGGTGTAGGGTTTATGGTTTAGGGTTTGGGTTTTGGGGTTTGGGGCTTAGGGTTTACGGTTTAGGGCGTGCTTGGGGCGCCAATATGGAACTGTACTTGAGTTCAAGCAACCTAGCAAGCCCTTCATTCCTGGGACAAGCAGGCAGCAACTACCCATCATTCAAGACATGTCAAGTCCGTTCGGAAAGAGTGTATGTGGGTGTGTGGTTTGTTCAGTCGTGCTGGTGCACCGCGCCGCCCTTGCCGTCGTTCTTTCTTGCGTTTGTGTCTGTAAATCCTGCCCCCTATTTTTTCTCTTGCTCTCTCAGTTCCAGTTTTGCATTGCGTGCCAGGGCATACCGCAGAAAAAGCCACTACAGTCCATTCGCTCGAACACAACTTTACGCCAAGACCCTAAATCAAGGGCTCTATCGCTGCGAGACCCAGGAGGAAGGAATAGAAAGGGTGCCGTTTTTGGTTTAAAGGGGCTTGTAAGGGAACGTAAACCCTAAAAACAAGGAATCAGGGCCTACTCTGGGCCCTAGGCGTTAGGGATTGTAGAGGGTCTGAGCTCTAGGGTGTTGGGACTTTGAAGCTTTGAGGTTTCAGGGCGTAGGGCTAGGGGTTCTAGATGAGTGTAACTACCCTACACCCCAAACCCTAAGCCCTAAACCCCAATAGCCCTAAACACCAAACCCCAAACCCTAAACGCGAAACCCAACAACCCTAAACCCCAAACCCTAAACCCTCAACCCCAAAAACCCTAAACCCCAAACCCTAAACCCCAAACCCTAAACCCCAAACCCTAAACCCCAAACCCCCCAAGGTCATATGAGGCCGGCCAAGCGTCCAAGACCGGCCCTTGGTCGACCTTTTGCTGAGAGCGCGAGCGCTTCGGGGTAGGAATCAAGCTGAACGAAGGTTTAAGGTTTAGGGTTTAGGGTTTAGGGTTTAGGGTTTAGGGCTTAGGGTTTAAGGTTTTGGGTTTAGGGTTTAGGCTTTAAAGTTGGGACGTTACCCCCTTTTACGAACAGTCCTGAATAGGGATTATATATAGGGGGTAAGAAAATCCCTTTTAAGGACTGTTCGTATGCGGGGGAACATCCCAAGTTTAAAGGGTCAAGGACCTGCGGTCTGTTCGGGTTTCCCCCACAGTAGCAGGGTAAAGGAGTATAGGGTATAGGGTTTAGGGTTTAGGGCTTAGGGTGATGGTTTCGATTCTCCGGGCGTCGGGCCTTCAGGATGACTTAGGAGCTCCGTCGCTTACAAGGGCCCACCACTATTTGCTGAAGAACCACCCCCCAAACAACAAAAACAAAAGAAAGACCAACAATCCCAAAATTGCCCTAATAAGAAAGAATATTTGTACTTTTTTGGGTGGCTCTTAAGCAAGCAGTGGAGTTTAGGGGTCAGGCTTGCCTCCAGCATCCTAAGCCCCCAGCCAAGACCCGTTTCCTGCCAGAAGTGTGTTCAGAAGGAATCCTACTGCTGGGGGGGGGGGGGGGGGGGGAAGGTTTGGGAGCCCAAAATTTCGCCTCAACCACCCTAAACCCTAAACCCTAAACCCTAAACCCTAAACCCTAAACCCTAAACCCTAAACCCTAAGCCGCTCACAACTCTCGAACCCCAACACTGGGCACCACAAGCTTTCGTCCAAACGTCACCCCTGGCAGCACTCGCTACCTGCGCAGGCACCCTAACCTTGGGATGATTTTCTTGATGGTTTTATAGTTTTAGACTTAAGTTTAGGGTATAGGGTTCAGGGTTCAGGGTTCAGGGTTCAGGGTTTAGGGTTCAGGCCGGCCCTCCCAAACGAGCCCAAAACAACTCGACAGCTCAAACAACTTTGGGTGGCCCAGCAACCATGCCATCACATTTTTTTTTTTTTGGGGGGGGGGTTAAGTTTGGGGTTTTATCCTCTTAGCTGGCCTTCACGGCCAACACACAAAGCTTGCAGATAGAATAGATTTAAAAGCAGGGCGGGGGGGGGGGGGGGGGGGGCGGCCTTCTCCAGGGCCTCTTCTAGGGCTTCCTGGCCTTCACGCCCACACAAACTTGCAGATGCGGCCGGCTGCATGCGCGCGACATGTGAAGGTAACGAAGCTCGACTGATGGAGCGGAAGTCCCAAAAACAGTATCGTTGTGTGTCAAGGCGCTTGAGATGCGACGCCATGCAGCTAGCATTGGCTCCGCTGTCCACTTGGACTGTGAGCTGCTAGGATTTCGGATACATCGCTGCCATGAGGGCTTCAGCATCTCGGTGAAACCCCAGGTTCCATTTGTTAGGAGTTTGGGATGCTTAATTCCATATAATGGGACTACAGATGGAGCCGGTGAGAAATGCATCAAGAATCCTTCATCTTCAGCCATCGAACCTGCGCCCCCTCAATCGAATTCACCCCCAAAAGTTCGCATGACACGTCTTATCAGAACCGCTACCCTATAGGGCTCCAAGTATACAAATGATAACTACGTTGGGGTCTAAAGTCTGTATGTAATACTTACAGGCCTGAGGGTTAGCATTCAAGAGAGCCGTAAACGTCCGACGTCAGATCTCACTAATTATGATTTGCGAGGGGTACGGTGTTTCAAAAGTCCAAGTAGCGCCTTCAAAGGAGGGGGACCTGGCAACCTCCAAAAAAAGGCAAAAGGAGTACCCTTGGGCTACCAAGACGAACACAGGGCTGCGGATTTGGGGTTTTAGGGTTCACGGGTTCAGGGATGGTCTTCAATCAGGCGCCCCACCCCCAAAAAACTAAACCGCCCTTCTCTCAGCGCCAGCAAGTCGCAAGGATCCTGGCATTGATTTTGAAGTTTCTGATGCCGATCGGAATGGAGAGCGCAACCTCAGAAGGTTTAGGGCTCTGGGGATTATTCTGGCCCCTTGAACCCCCCTCCCCTAAGAACCCTCTCAGCTCAGGGTTGGACTCAGAGAACCTGAGCTGGGGGTGCTCCTGAACCCTGAACCCTACAATAAACCCTAAACTCTAAACCCTAAGCCCTAAACCCTAAACCCTAAACCCAAAAACCTAAGCCCAAAACCCCGAAGCCCTAAACCCCGAATGCCTGACCATGAAACCCCTACACCCTGAACCCTGAGCTGCTCACCGTAAGTCTGCGAATATGCAGATGTGCACAACCTTCTGTTATCTTCCGAGTATCTTATCATTACAATCTTATACTATACAGACACGGTGCATGTACATGATGTAAGACAACATAACCTAACATGATGTAGTATACAAACAAACAAGCCAACAAACTAACAAACACACAAACAAAACAAACAGACAGACAAACAATCAAACACACAACCAAGCATACATACATACATACATACATACATACATACATACATGCATGCATGCATGCATACATACATCCATGCAGCATACATATATAAATAAATAAATAAGCAAATAAATAAATAAATAAATAAATAAATATATATATATATATATATACACAATTACACATACATAATGATGCGCGAAAGCTTAGTCCGGCACGGCGGAGATCTCCTGATCGGACTCCCAAGTCATCGGCACTGCCGTCCGCAGGCCTTGCTGGAATCAGGGCTCAGGCTTCAAGGCTTACTTTGAGGGGTTTAGGGTTTAGGGTTTGAGTGGTTGAGGGCTTTAGGGTTTAGGGTTTAGGGCTTGGTGTCCTTCTTAAAGGGGGTGATCAGGGTCTCGTTGGTTTCTTCCGGGTTTTTCGCATAGTGGGTTTTAAATTTCAGGGAACCCTGGAGCAAGCCACAGCCTCTCTACCAGGCTTGGGGCAGCCAATTTAATTGGAAGGAGAATTTTGGGCTGCTTGTATATTAGGTTGCATCATGAACTATAAAGCGGCAATCGCTGGCATTTAATTCGGGACCTGCCATATTGCCTGAGACCCTTGCCGAAACCATTCGAGTGGCGATCTCCAGCGCAGCTTGCGTACGCATCTACTTGAGTGTTGAGAGCCCTCCACATGGGGTCGCGAGAGAAAAAGCAGACCGCATGGTGAGGCTAAGAAACGAGGGGGGGGTCACGTCAAGGAAAGACTGTGCAACGAATGCCCAACTTTTTCCACCAGCTACATCTGTAGCCCTAAACCCTGAACCCTAAACCCCAATCCCCATGTTGGGGGGACTCGGGGGTGCTTCTCATTGGCTTTACATACCGATGACCCTTCAAGCATAGGGTCTAGGGTTGAGGTTTTTGCGTGCTAAGTTTAGGGTGTAGGGCTGAGGGTCTAAGCCACAAAGAAAGCCTCAAATTATATCGATAATTCAAGCTACTTGTAATAAATGCATCTTGGTAAATATTTAACATCAATAGTTATTGGAGCTGGACACCACACCCACAGCAGCAGCTTGAAAAACGAAGGCCGGGAAGCGGAAGGGATGCTCTGGCTGGGTGATCCTTGGCATTCTCCCCAGGACACAGGAAAAACTCATGGGTTGTTTAGACTTGTGGGATTTCAGGACAGAGTTCTGTGTAAACCCTAAACCCTAAATCCTAAACCCTAAACCTAAACCCTAAACCCTCTTGGCTCTTGGGTGGGGCGGGCGGCCCTAAACCCTAAACCCTAAACCCTAAACTCTAAACCCTAAACCCCGGGGGGCGGGGGGGGGGGGATTGGGATGAGAGAGTAAGGGATGTTTTCAAGGTTTTATGGAGTAGGGTTTGGGGTTTAGGGTTTAAAGTTTAGGGCCTAGGCTCGGGGGTGGTACTTCGGGTCGAGGTTCGAGTTGAGGAGTTAAAGTGTGTACAAGCCAGCGATCGCTGGCGTAGCTGTGCTCATCTTACGACCCCACCTAAAACGATTTGTGATTAGGGTTTAGGGTTTAGGGTTTAGGGTCTAGGGTTTAGGGCTTAGGGTTTAGGGTTTAGAATTTTCTCCCCCCTTCCCCACCCACCCGGTGGGTGGAGATGGGCTACGAAAAACTCCCGTTCGACTGACTTCCTTCCCAGAACCACCCTTGACCCGAACTCCCCGCATGATCCCCAAACCCACCCTCAACCCTAAACCCTAAACCCTAAACCCTAAACCCTAAACCCCAAGCCCTAAACCCTAAACCCCAAAACCCAAACATGCCCATTCCCCACAAACCCTCGCAGACCTGAAGCTGAGCCAGAGGGCACAATGGTCCCAAATTTCGGG